CGCCTCTATAAATGTCTGAGACAGCTCATTCCGAACATGCAAAACTATTCAACACAGGAAAACTCAAACCTTGCACTTTCAATTTCTAACGTAGTTTTTTTTTTTCAATTTTACATTTAAAAATCTAGTCCAAAAAAAGAGCCAACAAAACTATATTATTCTATTAAAATAGCACTAAGTGGTTTAAAAAAAGAGGACAAAACATGATCCGTTTTCTTCCCTAGTATCCATCCACACGCTGGTTAAGAGAGGGGGGAGGGTGGGAGAAATGAAACTTGGCCCCAAAGGAAGAGGACCTAGGAAGGTCAACTGCTGCGGGATGAAATTACACACAACACACACACACACACACACACACACACACACACACACACACACACACCCCCCATACCTCATTTATTCTCTAGGGGGTGTGGAGCACAAGAGGGACCTTTATGTATTTTACTTAACTAAACATATCATGAAGAAAGGGAAGGAAAGGCCAACGATAGGGATTTCTTCAAGGTAATGGTTTCACATTAGTTGCATGAAGGGGCAACCTCACTTTTCCCAGGAGTATTATTAAAATAAGCAGGAATATAAAATCTAAGAAATTTCCAAAGGCAACTGCATTGATATGTGTTTTAACTTTAGAAAAACGGAAGAGAACACACTAACATCCGGCTGGATAAAACTAGAGAAACTTAGAAAATTATAAATGATAAATATAATCCAGTTATGATGTAATAAGCTCTAGGCAGGCTTCAAGGTGGCCTAACAGTCATGAACCCATACAGCTACTTAACCTTCAGGAGTGCACTCTGGCAGGGTGGTCACATAGCACAGACCTGAAGTTTTCTGAGCTGACAATGCCAGCAAACAAGGGCATAGCTAAGGAACAAATCTATAGAATCGCCGGTATTCTTCCAGACCACAAACCATCCTGGGCCAGGGTGCCCAACGTGTACAGGCCTGCAGGCCTGCATGACACAAACCAAAATTTAGATACAACCCACCAGCCAAACTGCCCCTGGGTGAGATGCTTCAGGAGCCTCCTGCTGAAAACAGGAACCATTTCTGATTTTCCTTTGAGGCTGTTAGATCAAAATGTAAAACTACTAGGGATAAGAAGATAATTTGTTGGAAAGAATTCAATTTGGTTCAATCAAAAAACATTTTCCTTATGGTTAACTACTCTGTGTATGTGCATATGTGTATATGTGTGCATAAATATAAACGTACACATGTACTTTGTGTGTGTATATAGTATGCACATATATTTAAATACATTTATTAATTTTATATTTATGCTGAGTATACTTGCTGTCCCCCCCATCAGAATGTAACATCATTTCAAGGAGAGACTAGTTCATTTATTGTGCTTTTATCTCCAGTGACTAACAAAGTCCATGGCACACAGTAGGAGCTTTAATAAAACCTGTTGATGGACTGTAGTTCACTGTGGCAGGTACTTGGATACAAAAATAAAAGCCAATGAACATTTATTAAGAACCTACCACATGCTAACCTACTGTGCTAAGATACAAAGAAAGGCAGGAGACAGTCACAATGCACAAAAAGATCACAGTCTAACAGACTTAAACAAGATACGGCTTCTAGGGGTTTGAGTTTTAAGGAATGAGCAAGACAGTCCTTTCCCTAAAGGAGCTTAAAATCCAAAAGTGAAAAACCTAAAGTCCTTTGAGGGTCCAAGGTACTTGAGCACATCCTAGAGCCTTTAGGGTAACAAAGCGCCAATGTGTTCCATCTTGACACAGAAAAGTGAAAAGCAAAATCAGTGGCAGGAAAAATTACTTTTTAAGGTAAATAAAAGAATATTGCCCACTTGGTTTCTCTGCTCAGAATTCCAGCACAGGTAAGAAGAAAGTCAGAGCAGGGCAGGTGAAACCTTTACTGGTTTCTCTTAGATATAAGGAAATCAAGAATTTCACTTGCTGGAGATCTTGGATAACTAGCCACACTTATGATCACAGCAAGTGACAGGAAGGCTTGTAAGCATATCAATGTTATCTCGGTTCTACATTTTCACCAGAGATCTGTTCTCTTACTCTGAATGGGGGAAAGCAAATATTTTTTAAAAATTACTTTAATAATAACAATAAAATAGCTGCCATTTATATAACATTACTTTAAGTGCTTTGCAAATCTCATTTTACAACCACCATGGTGGCTAAGTGCTAGTATTATCCTTATTTTACAGATAAGGAAACAGAGACAAACAGAAGTTAAGCAACCTGCCCAGGGTCACAGAGTTAGTAAGGGCCTAGACAGGTCTTCCTGATTCCAGGGTAAGCCTCTATTCACTGTACCACCTGACTGACTATACTTTAACATAAAATACTAATGAATATAGGTTGCCATTGCAGATTGGTTACACAGAGGGAGGGACTATATTCTGAAAAATTATTTTGTATATTACTTAATTTCATGATATTTTATGAAAAGGGTAATTAATTAATGAAAAAAGGGAGTTCCTTTTGGACAGAAACTTTCATTTTGGGAACCTGGCAAAGTGCCTTCAACCCAGCAGCAGCTTAAGAAAGGTTTACTGAATTCAATATTCACATCAATGACCATGTATCTGAGATAATCCAATCAGATGAAATTGTGTGGACCACAAGGCTTTATGAGAGGTTAAAATAATGGTGCTGAATGGAGCCACTTTACTCAAGTGCCATCAAGTGTTTGTTGTGTTGAATATCTGACAAATTAAAGTTACTCTAATCAGTCCCTTTAACCCCCAGAGCTAAACAAAATTAAAGGGCCTAACAGTCTACCCTGAATATCAACTGAGTATCTGATATAACTTCACATGAAAATTTCACAAAGTTACAAAAGGGGTAGGGCAGGAGAATATCTTCCTTCCTATTTTCTAAAAGTAAAAACCACCACCATCACCACCACCAAAAAAAAAGGCTGTTATTTTTTTTCCAAAATCATCATTTCTAATGGCAACATCCAAAATAATGTTAACTATACAACTGTCTTCCTTACAATGATCATTCCAATTAAAACCTTAGTAAAATTTACCCCTTGAAAAGACACAAAACATCAGATTTATAATCAGTGATTGTGAAGATCTAAAGTAATTCTAATCTGGGTTAGGACGTTCTCCTCCTTCTGGGCCCAACAAGCTGAACAAGGCTGGAGGGCAAACGGAGCAGTTTGGCTCAGGACTAGAAAGCATGCTGGATCTCCAATCAGAGGTTTCTGGGTTCAAATTCTGACTTTTCCACTTAAAATCTGTGTGCTTTGGGGCAAATCCCTTAACCTCCTGAAAGCTTAGTTTAGTTTCTTCATCTATGGACTGAGGGGTTAAAGGACATGACCGTGAAGGCCCTTCTAGCTCCATCTCCTCCATACTAAGAGCTTTTATGTACCCAATTATTTTCAAGTTCTCCCTCTCTTTAGAATGTAAGCCCTTTGACTGCTTTTTGTTTTTTTCATCTTCAGCACTTAGGGCAGTACCTGACACCTACTAAGCACTTACTAAAATGTTGATTGGCACAATTATTGAGTGACTTCAACCCAATACACAATCAATATAAAAAAAATGTAAATTCATTCCATCTACACTCAAGTTGTTTTACCACAGTGCAAGTGGGCTTTGTTAAGCCCTGAATAGGTCAGGATAACAATATTCCTCTCAAACTTAAAAAAAAAAAAGGTATTAAGTATCTGTACTAATTTCCAGTTACAGGATCAAAGACTCAAGACACTATTTTCACATAATTAAATCATGGGCTGTTCCATGATGCACTGAAGCAAAGGGATGAAAGGACGAGGTCTAAGGGGAATGAGATCTGCTAGGCTATGGGTCATCCATTGGTGAACTCTTCGGGGCGTACTTAAATGGGTACGGGGAGATGGGGTTCAAGTGCAATCCAGAAGCATTTATAAAGCACCGATAGGCGCCAGGCACTGTGCCAAACCCAGGAGACACAAAGAAAGGCAAAAGCAGTCGGCTTTGGTTGGGGGTTTTCCCGTTCGACTTTTTGGGGATTTGGGGGGTTGGCACACACCCTAAAGCTGATCCCAATGGGGGAGACAAGATGCAAACGACCACGCGCAAAGGAGCAGTCCACAAAGTAAACAGGAGACCATCTCCAGAGGGAAGGGAGAGGCAGACCCCGACATTACCTAGTTAATGGGATCTCAGTGGGTTTTTCGTTAGCCTTCAGTTCGCAAGCATCTGACCTCCCCCGGGCCTCGCACCTGGCCCTGGGGAAGACATTTGGCCACAAGGACCCAAATTCGAGTGGCTTTCGGCCTCGGCCGCTGGAAGGGCGTGCAGGGCGGGAGCTCCGCATCGGCCTCCCGCCCATTCTACCTTTAGCTTCCCTTTAACACCGGACATGGGCGGGGTGGGGGGTGTGAGTCGCGCAGTAATGACAGGTTGGAGCCCCGGACCCCTGCGCATCAGGCAGGCATCCGTGCGTGCACGCAGGCATCGCAGGCATCGCCGCCCCCCCCCCCCCCCGCCTCGCGCCACAGAACGCGGGCCCGGGAGCCGGTTCCCGCGCGAACTTTGCAGGTAGTGGAGGCTGGTGGGCGGAGCGCCGCTGCCCAGCCCCGCCCCCGCCCCCGGCGCGCGCGCGCTCGCGCTGCCCCCCCTCCCCCGTCCCCCGCACGCCCGCAGACCCCCGCGGTGACCTTCCCTCCCCGCCCCTACCCCCCCAGTCCCCAGTCCCCGGAAGGGGGCTCCTGGATCCGCGGTCCCGTACCGCCCCCCACCTCGCTCGGGCCCGCGCCACGTGGGCGCGCCGCCTCGCCCCTCCCGCCCGGCCCGGCCCCGCCGCAGCTCTCACCTGGCGGGCGGAAGCAGCGCGTCCTGCGGCGCGGGGCGGGGCTACGGGGCGGGGCCTCGGGGCCGGGCGTGCTGGGCCCTCCGCCCCTCGCGGCCCCGCCCCGGCCTCCCCCCTCCCCCTCGGGGGCGGGGCCGGGCACGCGCGGCTCGGCGGCGGCTCGGCGGCAGGGCCCGCCCCCTCGGCCTCCATGGCTGTTTGCCCGGCTGCATTGTGGGAGTTTGACCCGGAGCCGCCGGACGCGGTTGACGAGCCGCCGCCACCGAGGGCGCCATGGGGGCCGTGACGGACGGTGAGGGGGCGCCGCCGGGTGGGAGGGAGCGGGGCCGTAGGTCCCTGGAGCGACTCTCTCCTCCCTCACAGAACCAGGCAGCCGGCCTCGGACCCGAGCTGTCCCACCCCCACCCCAGTCCTACAGAGCTCCTCGGGAGGGGGCGGTGGGACCGGCCGTCCAAAGGAAAGCTGGGGAGAGGGGGTCGCCGGCCCTGGGGGCGTCACGGAAGGGCTCGGACCCCTCGATACGGGACGGATGGAGAGGGGAGCGGGGTCCGTGGGGGAGCGCCGGGCGCCGGTCGGCTCCACAGCCGGATTCCCCCCGGTCCCCGACGCTGACAGCCGCCCGGCCCCCCGCCGCGTCCGCCGCCGGTGGAGGGGGCACGCGTGGGCTGCCCTCGGGCCCGGCGGCGCCGTCCGGGGAGAACACCGACCGCGGCTCGCTTTACCAGCCACGTTTTCCTGTACTCGGGCCGCCGGTGCCGGTTTGTTGTTGTCTTTTGTGTCCCTTTGGCCTGGCGGGGGGCCGGACCCGCTGGAAACGCGGCCTGCCTGTTATTTGTACACGTGTGTGTGGGTGTGTGTAAAAGTGCACACCCAGATTAAAGGAGTGGGGGGAGGACATAATTTGGGGTGTCATGTGGCCAGAAAAGTTAAGGTGCGCCCCGGCTTTTACCTCTGGGAGCGTTTCCCAGCTTCTTGATTCTTAGCCTCATGGAGTTTTGAAATCACAAAAGCACTTGAGCAATTAATTAACCGTGATTTTGTAGGCAAACTAGGACTTGGTCAGTCGTGTCCGACTGTTCCCGACCCCAGTTGGAGTTTTCTTGGGAGAGACACTCGAGTGCCTTGCCATCTCCTTCTCCAGCTGGTTTTACAGATGAGGAAACTGAGGCAAACAGGGACAAGTGGCTTGCCCAGGCTCATATAGCCGATAGGTATCTGAAGACAGATTTGAACTCAGGTCTTCCTGACTCCAGGCCAAAAGCTCCATCCTCTGTACCACCCGGTTAGTGTAAGTGAGCTGCTTGAACAGCATCATGTACATAACTGGAATCAGTGATGGAGAATCGATTATAAACCCTGTAGGCATTTTGCTTTGATAGTTGATGGCTAGACGGGCATTTCTTTTGCAAGGCCTTTTGCTCTTCGAAGTTTGAATCCCCTCTATTTTATGTGTTTGTTAAGCTTTGGCCAGATCTTTTCAACAAGGGGAGTATCTTTGTTCAGTATTTAGATCCTTAGATATTGATGCTTGATTGCTCCTGATCGATACTTCGGGAATGATAGAGGGTTGAATTCCAAAATTCCTCCACTGCCTTGTCTGTGGGAAGGAGGGGATAGAATTTTGAAGGGTTCAGGATTGTGATCTTTCAAAGTGAGGATGCCAGCCAGTTTAATGTAATGCCATCTGTGTCACATCTCTCAAGTGAGATTGCAACACAGTGTCAGAAGTTGCTGAAAGGTCTGACAGTTTGACAGGGACATATGCCTGGTGTCTTGACTCTGAGAACGTTAATCAGCAATGAGAATAGTGCCTTATTGCTGTGAAGTCTGTACTGTATTCCCCAGCAGAACAACCCCAAGGTTCAAGGTATAGCTAAGAGATGTCTGGGGGCAGCAAAAGAAGAGGGAAATTGGAGATGATGTAGCATAATTTTCCATTTTCCTAAATTGTTCCATTTAGGGTACAGTGTGATTTTTTTTCTTTCGGTAGTCTTTTCCCTTCAGTCTCCTTTTGAAGACCAATCTTACCTGTGCCCTCAGTCTCATATTCCCCCACCTCCATCTCCTCCAGGAGTTTACTCTCTCACATCTCTTTTTTCCCCCCATCTTTTTCTAACTGCTGATCCTCCCCCTCCCCCCCCACATGCTCAGGTCCTTTAAAACAACAAAAATACCTCACTTGACCTTGCCATCCATCTCATCAAGCTAACCACCTGTACCTAGCCTCCTTTTCAAGACCAATCATCTATATTGGATTACAATTGTATGTGCTGGTTGCTTTTGCTTTGTCTATGATCTCAGTCCCCTGTAATCTAGTGTGGGACCCTGCACTCTGTTGAGATTACAAGTGATTGCTTCCCTGCTAAATCCAGGGATCTTTTCTCAGGGCTCATCTTCATAGATCTAGAGCCAAAATGATGAGGAAGCCAAGAGCTCGATTGGTTAAGTGACTTGTCCACAGTCACCCAAGTGGTAAATAGCAGAGCCTGGAGTTGAAGCCCAGGGACTTTCACTCTAAATTCAGTGCTCTTTCCACTGTACTTGGTACAATTGACCAAACTCTCCTTGTGGACAGTATTATGGCAGCTAGGAGGTGGTACAGTGGATAGAACACCTGAATGCAAATGTGACTTTAGATATCCTAGCTGTGTGACCTTGGGCTAGTCACGTAACATCTCTCAGCCTCAGTTTCCTCCTATAAAATTGGGACAATAATAACACCTACCTTCCAAGGTTCCTATGAGAATCAAGTGAGGTAATAATTGTAAAATGCTTAGTACAGTGTCTGGTACATAATAAGTGCTAAGTAAAAGTTATCATCATCATTATTATTATTTCTCCTACCTGTGTGGCTATTCCTCAGCTCCTTTTTAGAATCTTCATTCGTTTCCTGCCTGCTGACCTGATTGTTTCTCAAGGTCCTGTCCTATGCCTTCTTAGCCCTCTCTCAGTAATCACATCTGTTCTCATGGAGTCAGTTATTGTCTATATAAATCACTCCTAAATCTGTGTATCCAGGCCCGATCTCTACAAAACTCTACTTTAACATATCATCAGCTGTCTACCAGACATCACTACCTGATTTCAAATCTAGGCCTCTTGCTTGCAGCCTTTCTCTTCTTTTACACATTATCTTGTGTATATTTGCCGCCTGATTAATTTTCCCAAAATCCTGCTTTCATGTTCTTCCCTAGCTTTTCATTGGCTCCCTTGTACGTAGTAACTGTAACTCTCATTTATAAAGCACTTAAAATATTAAGGTCCTTTCTCACAGTACCCTGGAATGTAGGTAGTATGAATATGATCATCCTCGTTTTATTGATGAGGTAACTAAGAAGTTAAAATGATTTGCCTTTGGTTTCACAGCTCGTGAGTATCAGGTGAATGCAAGTCTTTCTGCCTAGAAGTCCAATACTCTTATCTACTACCATTTCTCTCTCTTGTTCTTGGAATTAGAATTCTACCTGTGTACTGGAACTATTGTTAAATGTTTGGGGAGTGATTTATCAGGCAGACTCTCTAGGAATCCACCATTGTTCCCGCTAAGCTGGAACATCGTAATTCTGGGGTAAAGACACCACAGAGGAGATAGATACTCATTTAGTGGTCCTTATTTGTTCATCCTTTCCTTCTTTTTAAGTTCAGTGGAGCAGAGGGAAGAAAATTTGCTGGAAAGACCAACTTAGGGTCCCAGTGGAATAGAAACTTTAGAGATTTGTGGACAATAAGTTGCAGTTTATATTGAAAACACTTCACATCCTTTTTTTTCCTCCCTTCTCTTTACTGTATTTGTCTCTTTCCCTGCTTGCATCACTTTTGTGTGCGCACGCACAAACACATAAATATACACGTACGCTCACTGCCTCAGGCTTCCAGAGATACCCAGTAGCACCTGCAATGCTTAGCTCTATTAGTGGGACTCAAATATAAGAGGTCGCTGTCTTCACCTGTGGAATTTTGAGCAACCTTAATCTTAACTGTGTCTCATTTTTCTCATTTATAAAATGAGAGATTTAGACTTGATGACTGTGGTTCCTTCTATTCTACACTAATAATGTATCACATGAGGCGCAAATTTCCCCAGTGAAGTTTTCTTAAAGTTAGACTCAAGGATTATCAAATTAATTCCTTATCAGTACCTGGAAATTCTCTCCATTTCTTAGGGATTTTAGCAGGAGTAAAGTAGTGCTGACAAATTTGTTTTTCATTATCAGTCCACCTGAACAGAGTGTAATTACAATTGTTCCATTAGGTCGTTTTAATATTCATTACTTTTCTTTCTTTTAGATGAAGTTATAAGAAAGCGTCTCTTAATTGATGGTGATGGTGCTGGTGATGATAGGAGAATCAACCTGTTAGTGAAGAGTTTCATTAAATGGTGCAATGCTGGATCTCAGGAAGAAGGGTGTGTCATTTTATTTTTGTTTATGTACCATTTTCCCCATTTGATTGAGTCTGTAAATGTTTTGCTCATTCTCAATTTACTATAAATGGAAATATGTTCGATTCAGTCAACTCTTGATTTTTTTCAAACATTAACTGTCAGTTTTGTCTAAAATGAGACAAGGTAGCACTAAGCTAGTGTTCAAAGGGCTTCATTTTGGCTTGTAAAAAGCAACTTTCTCACAATTAGAACTCTCCCCAAGTGTAATGGGCTGCATTCCCCTTTCCCGAGGTCTTCAGGCACAGGCCCGATGATCTGCTTTGTCGGACATGTCATAGGGGGAGTTCACTTTGTGGAATATATAGAACTAAATGACAGCCTCCGGGGTCTCTTCCAGTTCTGGAATTCAGCGATTTTATATGATTAATTCTTGGGGAGATGAGTTTATCAAAGGGGGATAAAAGACCAAATTCAGATTCCTTATTTGGTTCCTTTCAACAGTGTGGTGAGGAAAGGATGTATTTGAAGTGACTTTTTGGATAATATTTGTATTTTCTCTTTAGTGGTGTCCCATTAACAAGATAATCAAAATTTGGCTACATCTTCAAACAAATAGAAACTTAGCAAGATTTCTTGTAAATTAGCTTTCTGCATGTGCAGGGGAAAAAAAGGCGAAATGAATAGCAACAACAAAGTTGTAGGTTTGATTTATTTAGGTGTTTGTATGAAATACATTTTGAAGTTGGTTTGTTTTAAAATTACTTATTCAGCCCAACTGAAAATCACCACATATAAATCTAGAGTTTATTAAAATGTAATATAACCCTAAACTTAAATTTGTGAATTAAATTCAATAAAAGCATGCATTAAAAAAGAAAAATTTAAGTTACTCTAAGTACATTTTACATGAGAATGAACTCAGAACCTACTATATTTTCATTGGTATGATACAATATCTTCCACTAAAGTGTAATAGTAAGATTTTCATTACTGACAGCTATATATTATCTTTTAACAGTTTTTCTCTATTTTAAGCATCTTCATTTTTCATTATTTTTAGCTACAGTCAATACCAACGCATGCTGAGTACATTGTCTCAATGTGAATTTTCAATGGGGAAAACCCTGCTTGTATATGATATGAATCTCAGAGAAATGGAGAATTATGAAAAAATTTACAAAGACATAGGTAAGTACAGTTGAAGTGGTTTATATTTAGATTTGTTCTTGTCTTATCAATCTTAAAGTTTGGAGTTTAAAATCTGAAAGAATGTTATCTAGGAATCTTTGGTTCAAAAAAGATTCCCATATAGTATTTTAGAGAAGTTAGCTCTTTTAAAAATTGTAACATTTTATTGGCAGTTGAAAATTTAGTTAAATATATTTCAGATTGACCTAGAAAAAGATTATTGTTGATGAAGTTACAGCTGTGTCTTTTTTATTGTTTTTATTTTTTTTACATAGAAAATAGCATAGCTGGAGCACATGAAAAAATTGCTGAGTGCAAAAAGCAGATCCTTCAAGCAAAACGAATACGGAAAAATCGCCAGGGTAAGAATCGTGTGTGATGTAATGTGCTCTGAGGTAGTCTAAATTATGATGAATTACAAAAAGAAGGGAACCTCTGAATCTTAAAAATATCTCTTAATGTCAATAATAAATTTATGCTGGCCGGAATTACTTCTTTACCAGGTTCAAATGGCATTTATAATCATTGTGTTTTAATCAGTGCATTTTTTTAAAAAAATGTGTACTACGTTCCTTGTTAAGATCATTATGCAGAAATTGGCTGTTTTGCAAATGGGAGAGGGACATGCACCAAGTGCAAAAAAAAGCTTGATTCACAGCTTAAAGAGCAAATGTATCTGGCTAAATACATCTTACCTTTTACATGTGTTTATACATATTACCATATTGGTCCAAATCTAGGCCAAGATAGATTGCAACTCTAAAGTGAAAAATCTTTGAGTTATACACTGTAAAATAACACAGAAAATAGCATACATCAGAACAAATGGCTGTTCTGGAATTTTGCGTTTTGAAGGGGCTGGCAGCTGTAAGCAGACACTGACACCCAATCATCTCCTACCTTTAGGCAAGAAGAGAGAGGAAAGATGCTTTCTTCCATGTGGTTCCCAGGGCAGCCTTAGGGGTTAAGCAAACAAAAAGAATTTGTTTTGATTATAGATTGAACTCTTTTTTTATGTAATTCATAATTGGAAGGTTAGCCTGCATTTGGATCAATATATCATGTCTTAGCTGATTCTCACAGTCATCCTTGAGAAAGAGAACAAGAGCACGTGTATTAATGTCCCCATTTTACACAAAGATTAAGTGACCCTTACAAGGTAAAACCAAACTTTTGGATCAGGCCTTCTCTACTCTACTGGCCAGTCTTTCGTGGGGGAAGTCGGGGGTGGGGGGGAGGGGGAGAGGTGCCTTTGGTAAATAGCCATGGGCTTGTGTCTTTCAGAATATGATGCTTTGGCAAAAGTCATACAGCACCATCCAGACAGGCATGAAACATTAAAGTAAGTTTAATATTTTACTTTGCTTCTAATTAATGTGTACTTACACCTCTAGGTAATAGCTATCTCTATTTTTTTTTTTTAAAGAACTTATGGATTTGTCGTTCTGAAACATCTGTTTTTATTTAATATCCCTAAAAGTGTGGCAGAGAAGAGCATGTAACATTTATAAAACTCTTCTGCCAGATTGAGCTACTAGGGAAAATAAGCCATCATTCTGAAATAATGAGAGAGAACAGGTTGGGTACTTAATATTACATATTATTTCATTGCCTAGAACGGTTCTTGATTGAAAATGCATATTAGCACTTCAAAATTACCAAACAACTGTGTAAACTATTCAGATGTGGCAGCCTAATTATTTAGTATATTCTGTTCTGCTTGTCTCTGATACTGTGCATGGGTACTTTGATTTTTTACAAAGTTTTGACCAAAAAATAAATTATTTGATATTGATTCCTTTTTAAAAATAGGCAAAATGTATATTACTCACTTTACTCTTCTTTTTTAGGGAACTAGATGCTTTGGGGAAAGAATTACAGCATCTTTCTCATATAAAAGAAAATGTTGAAGATAAGGTATGCTTGTTTATTTATATCTGTCAGTCAGTCAGGTATTAAATGCTTAGTCTGTGCCAGGCTCTGTACTAAATGCTAGGGCCAAAAACAGTCCCTGCCTTCACAAAGGCTGTGTTCTAAAGGGGGAGACAATATGTAAACAACTATGTAGATACAAGATATGTACGAAGTAGATGAAAGATGATCTCATTGGGAGGCACAGGCAGCTGGCCGGGGGTGGGGGGGGGGGGGGGGACAGGAAAGGTCTCCTCCAGAAGGAGGGGGTGTTGGAGCTGCATCTGTAAGGAAGCTAGGTGAACTGAAGAGGAGGAGTGTTAGAGGCCTTGGGGATTCCAGGGCAAAGGCGTGGAGGCAAGAGATGGAACGTCCTGTTTTGAGGAGGAGCGAATAGGAAGGAAGCCCCGTCAGTGCCAAGAAGAGCAGGCACTAGGGTCCTGTTAGAGTGAGTAGGAGGACAGCCTGATTAGACCTGCATTCCACAAAAACCATTTCGGCAGCTGAGGGAGGGAGGGATGGGAGTGTGAACACGCTTATGTTAGTCTGGTTAAGGGTTGATGAGGGCTAGAAGGAAGGTGGTGGCTGTGTTAGTGGAGGGAAGGAAACGTGGGAGGTGTGGAGGTAGAAACAGCGAGGCTCTGTCAGCATGAGTATCAGTCTTATTTTTGTACATCACCTTAAATTTCAACATTTTCTTTTTTTTTTTAAATCAAGCTGGAATTAAGGCGAAAGCAGTTCCATGTTCTTCTTAGTACTATCCATGAACTTCAGCAGACATTAGAAAGTAAGTGCCTTATATTAAAGCTAACAGTTTCCTTTTAAGTATTAATAACCTGTTTTTTAAAAGCTGAAACTCTTTTTTAGAAAGAGTTAGACTAGCACATTGCATGAACCTTGTGTTGTGCCTGTCTCTGGGTAGGGTTACAACCAGCTTTTCATGAAAATGAAGGTTATAACTCCTCAGCCAGCTCCAGGAAAGGTGCTCACTAGACCCTAGCTGGGCACACAGTGCACTCTGGGATTCTGTCATGTTAAAATGTGGGTGAGCTTTCTGAAAATGTTCCTAGATCAAGGCTTTGTTATTACTAGATTTGTGTGAAGCGTTTTATGTGGGTGTCATCACACTCATCGCTGGCACTCACTTGTTTCGTGTGTATGTCTCAATTTCAGATGATGAAAAACTCTCAGAGGTGGAAGAGGCCCAGGAAGCCAGCATGGAAACAGAGATGAAACCCTAGGCGGACTAAACATCTCTTAGTGTCCTTTCACCTGTTAAATCATTGTAACTTTGGTGAAACTAGCAGACTGTGGATGACAAATTTTTATCAATTTTTTTTTAAATGTCCAACTAGGCAAAGAAACTATTTTAAAGGAAGTTTGTTTTTATGAAATTTTTTTATTCAAATGTTTTCAGTTTGTATTTTCATGTATATTTTGGTAGTTGTTAAAATGGTAAAATTGAAATTGATTCTCATAAGTTGTATTTTACAAAGGAGCACTTCTAGAATGTACCCATAGACATATTCATGTGTACACACACACACACACACACACACACACACACACACACACACACACAAAAAACATAGTACCTAAGTCCTGAGGAGCTGTCCAAGGGACAGAGAGGTGATGATTTATCCTCATGCTGAAGGAGATTGTAACCAAGTCTTCCTGACTACCAGACCAGCAGTTGACCGCGATTTCTATGTCACGCTTCTTCTACATATGGGGAAAACACATGAGCAAATGAATCAGTTTCTAACCTAGAGAAATGAGTTGTTTACCTTTAAATGAAAGTTAAACAGATTTAGTCATTAAGGTTATAAAATATTTCTGAAAACAAATTGACATGCTTTGTTTGGTTCATGAAATCATAGCATGTTAAGAGTTGGATGTCACCAGGAATACTTTCTGGCCTCTCCCCACAAGCAGCCCTCCCACCTCTGCTTGAAGACCAGCGTAAGGGGAACAAAATTCCGATAAGCACATGATACATTGAATCTAAAATGCACCCATTCGTAGTTGTCTTAGAAAGCCCCTACAGACCACTCCCTGCTACAGTGCTTTGCGCATAGTAGGGACTCAGTAAAGAGAAACATTCTGGAGTAAGAAGCAACAGAATTGGACAAGACGGTGGGGTTGATCGCTGTGTTCTGGCCTGCGTTCTGTGCCGCCTCTCATCTCTCTCCATGAGCAGCTCCCCAGGCCCCTTGTCTCTGCTTCTCCCCTCACCCCAAGGCTAGTCATTCAAACAGTATCTATTAATCTGTTGCCATGCACTAGGCACTAGGTGCTGAGAATACAAACGCCAGGCAAGTAATGGCCCTCCAGAAGTTGACATTCTTTTGGGTAGGAGGTAGAAACGATGTCTGCCATCATCCCTTTCATTTCTCCTCTCTTTCCCCACCCTGACTTGTACCCCCTCCCCAGTAACTCCCAGTCATGCTCAGGGCTGGTATACGTGTTCAATGGAGGCAGGTCCTTAAACAGTTAACAAAGGGAGACGAGCACTTGGGTAGGGAAAGAAAAGCCAAAGTAGCAGCTCCTTGAAGGAGGAAGAGATCGGGGAGAAAAAAGACCGGAAATCCTTGGCTTGCTCGTCTCCTCCCAAGCACACCTTTGTGTGGATTGAGTTCCAGGTCTCGCACAGTCAGCTCCATGTGGTGGGTGGCACCAAATCTTGCAGTTGACGCTGGGTCTCTCCAGTGCAGAGAGGTGAATGTAAGCAAGAACGGCACCAGCACCAAGGTGATGGCATTCACTGCGGTCACCAATCCTCATAGGCCGGGGAGTTTCCACTTAATATTCCCTGGCCTACCAGCTGGGACATCTCACCTCCCTGGGAGCCCCATGAGTGTGGCAGGGAAGTGGGTGGGGGGAAAGAATACAGAATCTTTGCTTTAAGAGAGACCCTAAGGGACCGCTCCCCTGCCAGGAGGTCCGAGTAGGCAATTTACTTCCCCCTTGTTGCCCGAAAACAAACTAACTCCCAACCAGGCCCTCCTTGAGGAAGAGATGGGCAATGGTCATTGGGTATTGAACTGTCAGCATATATGGAGAGATCCATCTGTTCTACAAGGGGCTGCATTGGCCTTTGCCAGAGCCCACTCATGCCACTGGGCTGCCGTGTCTGCCCACTGACCGTCGCAGCCAAAGCCTGTGTCTGCCAGGACCAATCATAGTCCTCTGCTGTGGACAGGGTTCCTGTGAGTCTATATTTACCGCCTGCCTGGGCTTGGCAAGTGCACTAGGGGCACCCCTCCTGCTCTTCCTAGGCTGGGGCCACGTGCTGCATCCCTGCTGCTGCGCCTGTAGTTAATGAGGGCAGGAATTGCTACGTGGGCCAAAGGATTCTGGCCTATCATGCCACAACTTGGGCTTGACCTCCATTGTAGGAAATCGTTCCTGCTGCTAGCTGGCCTGCACTGAGGCGTCCTGATGTCTTGAATACACAGAGCAGATATCAAGACTAGGAGACACCGGAATCCAAAAGGCTAGTGCATGGGCAGCCTTTCCCATGGAGGAGGCTACTGGAGGCCTGAGCTCTGCAGGGTCCCTTTGCTAGAAGCTCCAAGGAGAGATTCCAGTTCACAGTTCAGGAGAGAGACTGGAAACTTAAAACTGATGCGGCATCCTTGCCTGTCCTCAGCAAATTAACTGGAGTGCAGTTGGCACATTTGTCCATCTCTCCAATTCCAGAAATGTCTCTAGGCTCCTGTCCTTTCAAATGCCTGCCTCCCTTGATGGTGTGTGCCAAAGAATCACAACAAAGTCCACGTGGCACAACTCCAGTTGGCATCTCAAATGCCAAAATAAGGATGTGCTACTCCTCTGAGGGGGCAGCTAGGTGGCGCAGTGGAAGGAGCGCTCGACCGGGAGTCTGGAAGACTTGTCTTCCTGAGTTCAAATCTGGTCTCAGACACTTCCTAGCTGTGTAATCCAGGGCAAGTCACTTAACCCTGTTTGCTTCAGTTTCCTCATCTGTAAAATGAGCTGGAGAAGGAAATGGGAAACTACTCTGGTATCTCTGCCAAGAAAATCCCAAATGGGGTCACGGAGAGTCAGACACGACTGAAACGACTGAACAGTACCTCCCTTGAGGGCAATTGTTGGACAATACTAAAATTCCAGGGATCTTAGTTTGCATCCTGTCACTGGATGTTTGTGTTCTTAGTGGTGCTCCTTAACCTGCCTGCCTGACTCATCGCTTTCTCCTTAATATCTACCTATCTATGTGTCTATCTATCTATGTATCTATCTATCTATGTGTGTGTACATGATATATGTATGTATGTATACACACATGTGTGCACATGTATAAAGTATATATGTACACAGAAAATATATGCATGTTTATACTTTAAGAACACATACACACACACACACACTCACACACAGAGTTTAACTCCTTAGTGTCTTTGTCTAAGTCACTTAAACTCTATGTACAAATACAGTTATGGGACTAAGGACTATTTATTCATCTTCATTGTCATTAGCAAAAAAAATTTAAATAATTTTTCCCCATTCATACATAAGGAGGTCCCCCTCAATGGGAGTGGGGCTTTCAGTAGGCTTCACCCAAGAAAATTAGGTGAGGAAGTCTCTTAGCAGTACCAAGGCATCCAGTCTCAGCAAGAGGAGGGTGGTCTCATTCTTCTATATTTGTCCTTTCCAATAAGAGGGAAATAGCTTTCAATTCCTTCCTCCTCCCCCACTCACACCCCCTGCCCCCACCACAAATCAATTCCTCCTAGTAAATTAACACATCCTCCACTGAGTATTGAGAAAATCATCTAGTGGAACTTAGAAGACCCTTGAGTCACCAGGCTGGAAGACAAGCTGGTGGGTCTGAGGGGTGGTTTAAGGCAATTATCCTCAGGGTTCAGTTCTTCAGACTATTACATGTTCACATAAGTCTCTCCGAGCTGAATAGCTTAGGGCAGTTTATTCTCTAATATTCCTGGGTGGGGCGTGACTGAGCAAACACCATTTGGAGGTATCACCAAGAGCTAGTCTGGGCTCACCTTCCTCTGCACTATCCATCCCCATTTTAATGAAATCATTCTCTTCCAATCCTATGTGACTGTGGGGCCAATTGTTCTGGGTTGGACCTGACTGAGGTCAGTCCTTGGTAGTTTATGGTGGATAATGGCACAAAATGAGACATTCATAGTTCATTCAACAGAGATAGCTAGGTGGCACAGTGGAGAGAGTGCTCCTGCACCTCGATTCAGAAAGATCTGAGTTCAAATTTGGCCACAGACACTTACTAGCTGTGTGACGCTGGGTAAGTCACTTAACCTTTGTTTACCTCAGTTTCCTCAACTGTAAAATGGGGATGATAACAGCACCTACCTCCCAGGGTAGTTTGAAGATTAAGTGAGATAATATTTGTAAAGTGCTTTGCATAGTGCCTGGCACATAGTAGGCTCAATATAAATGCTTGTTCCATCCATCAGTCTTAGCCATAGCAAAAGAAGAACATTCAACAGCATCCTCCCCGAGGACAACTGTAGCTGGTGGTTTTCCACCAACCAAGCATCAGAAAGAGACTAGTGTCCCTCACAGATATTTTGTGTTCATGACCAGGAGGGGAAGAACCTGAGTCTTTAGTCCGCTGAGCCAATTAGGTCTTTAGGATGGATTCAATGCCTTTTAAGGAAAAACTAACCTAACTTGGATGCAGGGAAAGAGATATTACTTCCACCACTAGTCCCTACTCTTATCTCACATCCTCACCCTGCTTTCTCCCAACTGCCCATTGTCTAAAACAACTTGAATCTTTTTCCTTTTCCTCTGGAATGTGATCAATCTGAACTCAGTGCCAATGACCATGAGATCTGGACTCAGGATCTGGTTCAAATGCTACCTCCTAGACTTACTACCTGTTTGACTTTGGGCAAGTCACATCTCCTTAGGCCTCAGTTTCCTCATTGGTAGAATGAAGGAGTTGGACTAAACAGTCCCTGAAAGCTGTGATCTGGTGAACCTTTGTGTGACTGTTCTCCTTCAGCAGTCTAAGGGAAGAAGAAAAGGAAAGGGATGAGAAAGGGCTTGCCAAGAAGAAGAAATACTTTTTTTAAACTATTTATACCAATAATTACCCCACCCCCTAATTTCTAGAATAGCAGAATAGAGCAGGAGACAGCATGACACAGTGAAAAGTGTGATGAGTTTGGAATCAAAGGAAATTTGGGTTTGAATCCAAGCTCTGATGCTGCCTGTGTGACCTTAGTGAAGTCATTAGCTTACTAGACCTCCATTTCTTTCATTTATCAGCTGAAAGGACTGGATCAGTGGCATCAAACTCAAATAGAAAAGAGGGTCGCTAAATTGTACGTAAGGATCCCTGCAGGCCCCATATTGACTTAGAAAACCACAATTTCACATTATCTTTGTTTCATTGTATTTTTATTTATTTTGTTTAATATTTCCCAAGTATATTTTAATCTGGTTCTCCTGCACTGGGAAGTGGCAAGAGTTGTATGGGGAAAACCCCCTTTCTGACATTTGTGGACTAGATGATCTAAGGTCCTTTCCATTTCTCTCTCTGCATCTATACTTCTATAAGAAAGGTTGTGAGT